CTGGGCGGGGCCTGGTGTCCGCCCGGGGATCTGCTGGGGCCGGTGTGTCTCTCTCCCGGGAGCCTGATGGGCTGAGGCGCGGCGCCGGGAAGCCCCCGCGGAAGATCAGAGCCCGGTGCGGCCGGGTGAGGCGCAAGGGCGGGCAGCTGGGTTCCGAGCTCAGCCTGGTGCCGACCCGCTCCCCTCCCCGCTGTTTCTCCCCTTTCGCCGGGCTCCGCAGCCCGTGTCCTGCCCCCTCCCACGGTCCTTGGCCTGTCGGGGTCCGAGCGGGCTTCCGCCCCCAGCCCCTGGGCGAGCGGCTCCTTCAGGTCTGGCGTCCCCGGGGGAGAGTAAACTCGGAGTTAACGGGGCCCCCACTTCCGTGGCCGAGCGCATTGCCTGGGTGACGGGCGTTCACACGGGACCCTGCCCTTGCCAGTTCTTGCTGGTTTCTGCCCGCCGATTGCCGTAGCGGAGCCTGGCGGTGTTAGTAACAGCCACGTGCAGCCTCGGGCTGCGCTCTGAAGCCTGCCTCATGTTTGCCTTTCTGATCAGCTGGTCGAGACGACAGAGTAAATATTAACTTCATATGCGGGTCTGTAGAGCCGCTGCTTCAATCATGAAATTGTTGCTCCAGCCAGCCTTAGGATGGATGGTGACCATAGGCGTGATCGCGGATGAATAACGTTTAGTACCGGCATATACGCCAGTTGACTTGTTGAATTCCTGTTGCTTCTTCGCTTACTAGTCTTGCAGCTCTTTTCCTACCCACTTCGCTGATCTCCTGAGCATTGATAGAGAGCCTCTGTGTCACTGTGTAGGTAGAGGTGGGTGCTGTGATCACTTCCAAAGAAGCCTTGCAATCTAAATCAGGTGCAAGTAGGAGATTGTAGGAACAATGAAAGAGTCTATAAGGTGCCACAGGACAACAGATTCATTGGAGCATAAGCTTTTGTGGGCAAAGACCTGCTTCATCAGATGCAAGAGATTGTAGGTAACTTCATATTTAAAACAAAATAACCTTGAGTTAATATCCATGGTTTCTAACGAGTATTTTGAATGAAGGAAGGGAGATAAGAAGAGCTCCAAAGTAGGATGTTGCAGGCTCTGTAATTTTTCCTGTTTGAGAACATCTGGTACCTTGTATGCATATGGCAATGTTGTATTTCCTTTTGGTATAAGTAGGGATGATGCATGATTAGGGATGTAAAAAGCTGTTTGTTTAACTGGTTAAAGGGGGGACAGTTGGTTGGAGGGAGGACTGCTCCAGCCTCATTTCCCTCACTTGCTGAGGCTGGGCTGAAATAACCCCTTCCTCTCCCCACCCTACACTCCCTTCCTCCCTCCCTTCTGCAGGCAGTCACTACTCTAGCTTAGCTGGAGCAACCCCAGCCTGTGTGGCACCCAGGCTCTCATAAGAGAGGAGCTGATCCAGATGACCAGAGCAGCTTCTGTGTGCAGCAGATCTCCTGTGGGGCTGGAGCAACCACTGCTGCAGCCCCCACTAGTTAATGGTTAACTGGATCTGGTAAGCATCACCTGTTAAGGATGATAGTTATCAGTTAACCAGTTAACTACCATATGTTAGCAAATATGCCCTGCACCCTAATATACCCCCAGGTTTTTGCTATTTGAGTTAAAAAAAAACAACTGTATACCCCACGCACGAGTACAGCCTGCAGGAGAGACTGCAGACTTTTTTAAAATTGTTTTTATTCTTTTACTAGTTACACAGTAAAGTAATGAATTTTAATGTATAACTGTCTCTATTATTAAATTAAAATATGCTGCTTTCCTCGAGGAAGAGTCAGTATTGTCTTCCTTTCAGTAAAAAAAACAAAAACAAACTTGTTTACCCTGTGCATGAGTATAGCTCATGGGGGGGAGGAGAGGGGAGGGTGCGGGGTTTGTAAAAACAAATATAACCTGTGGGTTATATTTGCTAAAATATGGTAATTAACCTTTCATATTCCTACATGTGGCTACATCTAGCACAATTAAGGTATGGAAATTAGGTGACTTGAAATTCGTTAGTTTTCATTTGCTTGGTTCCAGTCCAGCTTCATATTGACCTCAGTCGTTCCAAATGGAAAATGATCGTGGAATTTTTTTGTGATCTTGCAACATAGTGTGATGATAAATTAACAGTTATTAATTGCAGAAATTGTAGTTCTGTTGTCTCTGAAAAGACAGGTGCACTTTGAGTGCAAAGCAAAAGCAAGAAGTCTGTTTATCAACATTAGCTAGCAAAGTTTAGGTCTGTGATGAACAGGTGGTACTTGTGAAGACAAGTGGTTGAACCACTAAATTCTTAATGGGTTTTTCTTTAGACTGTTTTCTTTAGCTAGCAAGAGATGACACTATTATTCTTCTGTACTTTGAGGTACGTTAACAGCACTTAAATTTTATAAAACAGAAGCATAATTACATATAAATGATTTACTGTTTTGCATATATGGTAGCACTTGCTTTTACTGGTAGGAAACTCTCTGGAAACTGAAGTATAGACAAACACTAAGACTGTTACTGTGGTGCTCAGATAGACAAATAGATCCTAGCAGACTGTGCAATCCCTATAAAGCAGGGGTGGGGAACATCAGGCCTGGGGGCTGGATGTGGCCCCCAGCTTGCCTGGATCCAGACCCCAAGGCTCAGCATGGGGAGCCCTTGCTTAGCACTCCAGCCAGCCACCCACCTGCAGGGCTGAAGCACACACAATCTGCTAGCCTGGGCCCCTCTAGGCTCTGGTGTGCAAAGGGAATGGGGGGAGTGTCTTTCTCCTTGTCAGTCAGGGGCTTCTTATTTTGCTTCTCACTTGTGTGGGGCCCCCAACTGATTTTTTATGGATCAGCAGCCTCCGACCCAAAACAGCCTTCCCAGCCCTGCTATAAAGGGTAACATGATGGGAAAGTAAATATTTAGGTCAGGCCTACATTATACCTGGAAGGTTGTGTTAAAGTACACAACTCCAGCTACATAAAATACGTAGACAAGCTTGGCACCATCTTCGCAGTGGGAGGGCAGCAGGAACAAATGCTCTGTCGACTTCCCTTACTCCTTGCAACTGCGAGGAGTACCAGTACTGACCAGAGCCGCCCTAAGTGTTCGATTTAGTGGGTCTAGTTAAGTGGTGCAGCAAGTGGCCTCAGCCTGCACTGGTTTGGGAAAGGGATAGTCTGGTCCTACATTTACAGCAGTGATGTTGCGGTATTTTGAATTACTTTTAACATAAAGGAGAAATGATGACTCTCTGGTATATTGCTGTGGTGAATACGGATTATGTTGAGGGTTTTTGTCTAAATCTTATTCTTTCTCTATAGATTCTTTGGCACACGGACCTGGTTTACACTTAAATTTAGGTAAACGTGGTTATGGTACTCAGGAATGTCGAAAAATCCACCCCCCTTGAGCGCTGTATCTTTGCAGACCTAACTCCTAGTGTAAACACAACTAAATTGATGGTTGTCAAAAGAATGCTTCCTAGCGATTGTGTTTCTGGGAGGGGATGTTCCTACAGCAGTTGGGAAAACCATATCAGGTGCAATAGGTCTGGGTGGGGAACCTATGGCCTGGGGGATGAATCTGTTCCCTGGCATGCTTGGATCTGACCCCTGAGGCTCTGGGATTCTCCTCCCCCAGCATCAGGGAACCAGGCTGGTTCTCTAACCCTCCAGCCAGTCTTCTGCCCACACCCTACTACCCCACTCCACTCTTGCACCTGAACTACCTTCCAGCCCACTCCTGCACCCTATTATCACCCTTCCAGATCCATGAAGATCCCTAACCCACTCCTGCGTCCTCCTTCCCATCTGGATCCCACACCCAAGCCCACTTCCCCACAGTCCCTTCCTATATATTGAACATAGCAGAGCCAACTAGATCTACTAGCCTGGGCTCCCCTACACTCTGGTGTATGAGGGGCAATGTGCGCAGTGTCTTTCTGCTTCTCAGTCTTTTTTTCCTCACTCTTGTGTGCCCCTGATTGATTTTTCTCGGGGTCAAAAAAAGGTTCCCACTATTACTGTAGGCAGTGACTATACTATCAGGTTATGGTGACAGAGCTACAGAGCTGTAGGTATGCTGCTGTAGTTCCCATGGTAGACTTGACCTTGGTGTAATTCCTTTTGTAGGTGTCATTTCATCTGATGTTGTTGAGGCATGCGCCAGCGTTAGTGACTAAGGTATGCATGTCTGCACAAAGTAGGCAAACCTGATTTTTCTTTTAAAGTGTCTGCTTTAAAGGGAGACTGCCTTCTGTAGGATCGTATTTCTCTTTATCTTGTACTTGCAAGTAACACCTCCAGCGTCTGTAAGGGATTAGAGAAGTTTTCCTTTATCTTTTTCTTATTTAGTTTGTGCATTTGATAACGCTTTATATAAATTGATTATATGCAGTCAGTTTCTTCTTTTGCCTGCAAAGCTTTTACATAGAAGGTTTTAGAAAAGACAATGTAGCATTTTTCCACTAAAAAAGGTGGAAAATGACAAATGTGGATATAAACTGAGATAAAAGACATGGATATTTTTTCATAAATATGTCTATTTCAAGTTAACTTTTTTCTTCTCTCCATTTCTGATTAGCACTGTAAGCCTTGTTTAAGTGTTTCATTTTAACTTTTCTCCACAATGTTTTCTTTGGCTCTGAAAAGTGCTTTTATATTTATTCTGCTTGCTTGCTTGTTAAATAATCAATATTATTCCCTAATTTACGGATCAATATCTGATATAAAAATGTTGGGTAATGTATATTAGACAGAGGCATATGTTAAATAGGGGAAAGGGAGTATAAGGCGGCTCATGTAGAAAATGGAGTACTCCCCATTTTTGGGAAGTAGAAGTACGTCTAGAATTCCAGCCAGGAAAGGGTTGCTGAACAGTGTGTAAGTTTGTGGCTAATCAGGGTTCTGTAAAAGAGGAGCTCCTGCTGTTGATTCCCTCTTTTCCTCCAAATTTACCTGTGTATCTGGGGTAGGATATTAATATTCACTTCTCCTCTCTCAAATTCTGTTGGGAGTCGTCACAGAGAAAGAAAACCTGCTCATAGCTTTCACAACCTGAATTAGTAACTACTGACCAAGTGCTGCATTTACAGCACTGATGTTGCAGTATTTTTAATTACTTTTGACATAAAGGAGAAATCTGCAGTTGTCAGGATGGTGAATGCCCTTCATCCAACTGACCAATCTCTTGATCACTTGCTTCAGAAATTTATGAGCTGTAGCAGTCACTCAATTAGTTTGTTTGATACCTTAAAACTTGGAGGGTTATTTTTGCAAACATAAAAGCTAGAAACTTTTTAAATGAATATTAGTCTGTGAAACTGGTTGCTTGAGTTTCTCCTCTCACAAAGACAACATTGAGTTAACTTTTATTTCTTTGGAAATTCTGCTAACTGCAACCTACATTTAGAAGAGGTGACCGTCACTTGGTCACCCTAATAAGCATGCCACTTAAATACTGTCCACATCTGTAGTTCCAAGAGAGAAGCTATGACAGAAAAACTGTGCTAAATTCTTTTGGATAATATCTTGCTGCTACTTAACTAGTATTTCAAATGAAGGTTTCTGCCAGTGTTGATAAAACCAACAAGTGTTGAATTTCTCTTTCTCAAATTTGGCAGCTACATAAAGTACAGGAGAGATGCCTTCTAGGAATTTTTATTCTTGCTGTCCAGCAATTTCATTGAGTAAGTCTTTACATTTTGGGAATATAAGCAGATGGTGGAAGAGTTGTGATTTGTGCAGTAGAATCTAGGTACAGTAAAACCTAGATGCCTTTGAGGGAACCGTATTAACTCTAGAAAAGTTCTTTTTGTGTGACTGGTACAACTTCCCATTAACTTCGAGAGGCAGATCAAGTCTTTCTGAAGAAGGAAAGAAGTGGCATTAAATAGACTCCCTCAACCTTATGATGCCTTATTAAGTATCTAGATTGGTGATACTCAGTCTGAGACTTGAAAACCACAAGTAGCTCTTTAATGTGTGTCCTTTGGCTCTTTTGTAGCATCTTAACACTGTGATTTCATTATTAACCAGTCAACATGCTTCCAGTAAACTAGAATATCACTAGGTCTGAGTATCACTAGTAAAACCAAGTGTTTTACACCTTGAATTATGAATAGTCACTTCTCAAAATAGCTCTGCTCTAGAATAGTTGTTCCATCGAACTTAATCTCTTGTCAGGTGCAAACAAATTTTAAAATATCTAAACTCCTTGCGTGGTGGAGAGGAACTCCATCAAACCAGCTTTTTTTTTTTTTAACCTCCCCTTTAAAAAAATCTGTAGAGCTGAGTTCTTGGTAATAACGTACTCCATATGGCAGCTCGGCACAGGAATCGTAAAGTGTTTAAAAACATGTTTGCAATGGAAACAGTGGCAGTCCTAACTATTGTGATGCTTGCAGGCATTCTCATGTGTCTCTTAATCCTTTGATTTGACCATAATTCCTGCATATCATTTTTCCCTATTACTTAAGCATTTTATGAATGGTGACTAAGGAATTTTATTAGCTTCCAACACATCAATATGTATGATTCATAGTACAGTATTCCTGTTCAGTGATTCAGTGCACTTTGCGAATAAGCTGATAGATGAAGCCAAAAATGGCCCTGAACCCACAGTGGTAATTACTTGTCATTGAGTGGCAGCACAAACACCTTTGCAATAAAAGGATTAGGCTTGGACTGCACTTCTGTTCAGCTTCTACTCTGGCCCTTGAAGCAAACTTTAATAAGTTTTCTCTTCACAGAGCTTTTAAAAGACTGTGTTAATGAGTAAATTAAGAGTAGCAATTATGGCAAGAGGAAGTGAACTTGAAATTTAATCAGTTTCCAAAAATGGCCTTAAAATGCTGTCTAGTTCCTGACCTGCATTTCTTCTCTCTTTCTTTTCTCCCCTATTGTATGAAAAAGACACCCCTCACCCTACACACACACACACACAGAAATTGAACTATCATAAAACAATGCAAAGTAATGCAGTCAACAAGATTAATACTTTTTTCTATAATTTGTTTACAGTAATCTTAGTTACAACAATTACTAGAGAAGGGATTTGTCAGAAGTTACAGTAATTCCTCATTTAACGCTATAGATATGCTTCTGAAAATGTTCATGCTAAGCAAAAACGTGCTATGTGGGTCAATTTTTCCATTAAAAATAATGGAAACGGTGCGGGTTGTGGGTCAGGTAGTGGTGGCAAAGTCAGTTGTGGTTTTTTTTTTTGTTTTTTTTTTTTTTTTCTTGGTACTCAGTCATCAATGTCAACATTAGATATGTTTAGCAACACAGGTCACTGTAGTTTGTTAAAACAAAAAGGCTACGTCTACATTGGCATGATCTCGCGCAAATGGTTAAAATGGCCATCGGAGCTTTCTTGCGCAAGAGAGCGTCTACGCTGGCATGTGCCTTTGAGCAAGAGATGTGCTTTTGCACAAGAGCATCCGTGCCAGTGTAGACGCTCTGATGGCCATTTTAACCATTGGGCTTTCTTGTGCAAGAAATTCATGTTGCCTTTCTACACTGGCCTCTTGCGCAAGAATAGTTGCGCAAGAGGGTTTATTCCTGAGTGGGAGCATCATAGTTCTTGCGCAAGAAGCACTGATTTCGCACATTAGAACGTCAGTGTTCTTGCGCAAGAACTCCCCGCCAGTGTAGACAGGCAGCATGTTTTTGTGCCAAAGCAGCTGCTTTGGCGCAAGATCGCGCCAATGTAGACACAGCCAAAGATAAACAAGTGAGTGAGCGGAGGAGTGCTGTGAACACATGTATTCATCCGCTCATGGGTATTACCGCTGTTTTCACCAACTTATACCGCCACACGAAGTAATCCACTACTTGATTATTTTCATGTTATTTTGGGGACGATCATGTTGTTCGAAAAACTTTCCCACCAAAAAAATCATGCTGTTGTGAAAAAGTGTTAAGTGGGCACATGTTAAATGAGTAAAGTGCTACATTGTCCTGCATTTTGCTTCAACTACCCCAGACTAACACGGCTACATCTCTATCACTATGTTAAATGAGTAAAGTGCTACATTGTCCTGCATTTTGCTTCAACTACCCCAGACTAACACGGCTACATCTCTATCACTATGTTAAATGAGTAAAGTGCTACATTGTCCTGCATTTTGCTTCAACTACCCCAGACTAACACGGCTACATCTCTATCACTATGTTAAATGAGTAAAGTGCTACATTGTCCTGCATTTTGCTTCAACTACCCCAGACTAACACGGCTACATCTCTATCACTATGTTAAATGAGTAATTACTGTACTTTTAAACTGATGGTGTCCAAACTGCAATTCTCAGTTTACAGAGGTTTCACGTAACCCTTACTCACTTACTAATAATCAGATAATTATATTTAGGACCTTCTGGTCAATAACGAAGTAAAGATGTGCCATGTAAGCGGTTCCTACTTTCTGAAACAACTATTTTGATACTTTGTGGGGTTTTTTAATTGTATGTCACTTTTACTCTAGAACCTGTTTAGAATTAGTGGCTATTGTGACAGTACTGGGAATAAGTATCAGAGGAGTAGCCGTGTTAGTCTGAATCTGCAAAAGTGGCGAGGAGTCCTGTGGCACCTTCAGTTAGTACTGGGAATAGTTGTTGCTGAAAAAGTTCTGTTTTCAGAATCTGTTTCTATTGATCCTTGTTGGAAGGAATATGTGCAATTTGGTCAGGTTTAAGGAACCCTTTTACAATGTTTGCTTTCTGTTTCAGAGGGACTATGGAACCTCAGCACCCGTGTAGATTTGGAGGGTTTAAATACCAGTTTGTGAAGACTTTTTTCTTCTCCAGATGATCTGCTGGATTAAACGTGTAATTAGGATGATTTTTGAGCAAACTGGACTAAACATGGAATCGGTAAGTGTTTCAGCTTCATTGAAAGTCTATGGAGTTCAAATATTTCAAATATAATCCACTTAAATATATAGTTCACACTGAGAGCAGGTGGGACTGCATTTTAAATTTTATGAAGTGTTGGAGATCAATGTAAAGATGACTAACTTGATTGACATTGGGTTATGAAACCTAATGATTAGGTATGATCATAGGTGCTATATAAAAAGATTTAAAAGCTGTTCTTGCTGGCTTTTATGACATAACTTGTAATATATCACTGCCATTTAGGATGTACAAAGAAGGGGTTTTGCAGATACTTTGAAATTGAAAGGAAATGTTTGTTTTTTTTTCTGGGGGGGACAAGGGGGCAACTTCTAAACAGACTCATGGGATGCAATAGGTTCACCTACCTTAAACAGTCCTGGATATTCTAGTATTAGTTAAGGTTCCTGAAATTCTTGTAAAACACAGTGGTACTTGAAGGCTGCTGAAGGTATGTCTGCATGGCAAAAAAAAATACCTGCAGCAGTGAGTCTGAGCCTAGGAGTACAATCTTGGGCTCACTACAGCATTAAAAAAAATCTGTTGACATTCAGACTCTTGAAGCCCAGGAGAGTGGATGAGTTTCAGAGTGCAAACCTGAACTGACAAGTCTATATGATTATTTTTAGTGCTGTAGCATGAGTCTGACTCTGTGGACCTGAGCTGAGACTCACTGTTGCTCTGTAGCTATACCTGTAGTCTGTTTAGTATGGGGATGTGAAAAGTTAACCTGTGGGGGAACTGGAGCAGTCCTCTCCCCTTTTTTCCCCCCCCCTCCTCCCCCTGCTTGCCACAGGCAGGAGGCTACTCTAGCCCCACAGGGCCTGCAGTGGTGGGGGAAGCCCCAGACTGGCTGGAATAGCCCTTGCCTGTGGAGGGCATGGTCCAGGCATGCTACAGGTAGGAGCGCTCCAGCCCAGCCCCACTTAATTGGTTGACTGGCTCAACATAAAGTTTAACTGGTTAACTAATTAAATGGGATTTTTACATTCCTAATTCAATAATACCCTTTTCTCCCATTTTAGTATGTCTGAGAGCTGCAGAGGTGGTACTCTACTGGTTTCAACTATTCCAAAACCTTTCCCCACTTCAAGGGAGGGAATAAAGAAAGACTATTCTTGACCTTATTTTGCACATACTGTCATAGGTCAGCCAGACATACAATATTCTTTGCCCCTCCTCTCCACTCCATAACATTTCCAGTAGTTCATTGTAATCCTTCTTTCCTTTCCCTTCTTCCACGAGCCCATAACATATTCTTTATTCCTGCCCCAAATTTCCAAGCTAACAGCTAAGCACAACAAAACTGTCATTGGAGTTGTTATCCCTGCTGGTATTGTTGAAAGCTGTGCTATGGGCAGGCACAGTACAGCTGCATTCTCTGATGGGAAGCAGAAAGGAGCATGTGCACTCCTTGACTCCCTGCCTTATACAGCACTGTAGGCCTTTCTTTCACTTTGCAGCAGACACAGCAGATGAAAACTAAAACAGTTGCACAGCAACCATTTTCCTATTGACACTGTTGGGACACTCTGAATGGAAACAGTAGCTTAGGTTCAGTCCTCCCCTGTGAGATGCTGTACATTTTCTTCCTTGAATGCACTGGGAGGGAGGGGGAAGGGAGACTTGCAATCAATCATACTAATTTAAATCCATATATAGAAAGAATATTGTAGGTTTGACCTTTGATCATGAGAGCTGGCAAACTGAACTCACTAAAACAGTTTACATATTACCAGTGTTCCCTCTAAGATTTTCCATCCATGAGTGGAGTGAGTTTTGTCTTGTGCACCGTATTGAGTTCATGTACACTCGTTTGGATGTGTGCCACCATAGCATCCAAGTTAACAACTAACTTATAAACCTCTCCCTTTTCCCCTCTGCTGCCAAGTCTCCCACCTTCCCCTCATATACTCTCCGGCTACGTCTACACTGGCCCCTTTTCCGGAAGGGGCATGTAAATTTCAGCAGTCGTCGTAGGGAAATCCGCGGGGGATTTAAATATCCCCCGCGGCATTTAAATAAAAATGTCCGCCGCTTTTTTCCGGCTTTTAAAAAAGCCGGAAAAGAGCGTCTAGACTGGCCCCGATCCTCCGGAAAAAGTGCCCTTTTCCGGAGGCTCTTATTCCTACTTTGAAGTAGGACATTTTAATAGGCACAACTTTGAAGTAGGAATAAGACCAAGTAAGAATAAGAGCCTCCGGAAAAGGGCACTTTTTCCGGAGGATCGGGGCCAGTCTAGACGCTCTTTTCCGGCTTTTTTAAAAGCCGGAAAAAAGCGGCGGGCATTTTTATTTAAATGCCGCGGGGGATATTTAAATCCCCCGCGGATTTCCCTACGACGACTGCTGAAATTTACATGCCCCTTCCGGAAAAGGGGCCAGTGTAGACGTAGCCTCCTAGTGCCTACTGCTGCCCCCACTCCTCAACCTCCCCTGCTGTCCTGGATCCTGCCCTTCTCGCTCTCCTCAGCCTTCCTCGGACCTGCCCCACTCCCCATTCTCTCTGACCCCTGCACTTGCCTTTCCCTTCCCCCTGTGCCCGCTCCTCCTTTTGCCCCAGGTTGATCATCTGTAGCCAGTGGTGGATTTGGAGCAGGGTGAGAGGGGTGGCTGCTGAGACCCTGCACCATCAGCCTGCTTCTGCACCCTCCCCCGCCCCGCAAACCTGCTTCTGCACACTCCCTGTGGCCAGACACCTTCGCCCCAGCCCTGCTCCTGGCCCCACAGTGCACCTTTGCTTGCTCTTGCCCCTTCCCCCTGGCTAAATCCCCTACTCCCAGCCTGCTCCTGTACCCTACCTCCTACCCAGACCTCACAGCTTCCTGCATCCAACCTCCCATCCAAACCTTGCCCTTTCACTCCCTCAGGAGCCCCCATCTCTCACTGGGAGCCCTGTCCTGCACACTGTGAACCCCTTCTTTTTTCCCCAGAGCCTATAGATTTTAATCCATAAAATCCACTAATCCTGGAACCCCAGAAGAGTAAAACTGGTCCATGGGAAGTCCTGAACCTCAGTTCTCTCTGTCCTTCCTCCTACCCCAATGGGGCTAGAGCACCAGAGGAGTGAAGTGTTTTCAGTTAGGGCCACATCAGTGAGCATTGGGGATTTTTGGAGGGTGTTTGGGAGGGTGGGTTGTTTTTGCTTCTCACTTGTGTGGTCTCCAACTGATTTTTTTTTTCCCCCCCTCTGTGTCAGTGGGCCCCCAACCCAAAAAAGGTTCCCTATCCCTGCCGTAAAGAGAGAAAACATTGAAACCTTTTACATTGGACATAAATTAATATTTTACATGATTTAAAAATGAAGTTTGATAAATTATCACCAGAAAGTAGAAGCACTTAATCTGTTTAATAATTTAAATTAATATTTCCTCTCTCTATATCTATCTATCTATATAGAATTATAGAACTGGAAGAGGTCATTGAGTCCAGTCCCCTGCCATCATGGCAGGACCAAGTACCATCCCTAACAGACTTGCCCCAGATCCCTAAATGGCCCCCTCAGGGATTGAACTCACAACCCTGGGTTTAGCAGGCCACTGCTCAAAGCACTGAGCTATCCATCCATCCAGCCTTCTCTTCCTCCAATCTAGTTTAATTTACTGGTTAAATTAAACCATTTTCCCTAGCTGCAGCACTAGCAAAATGATTCAGGCATAATGATGTAATTTATGTTGAGTTTCCCTTAGCAGCTGGTGGTCAATGGATATATTTGCATTGAGCCAGATGGGCCACAGGCCAAAAAGTTTGAGAACTTCTGCTGTATAGGTATTACTAGGTGGAGCAAAATTGTATCTTAATTGTATATTGAGTAAATGACCTAACAAGTTCTATAATGCTTAATTTTTTTTCTTCAGGTGCTGTGGTCTGGCAAATCTTATGGTTCATCTCGAAGTATTGTAAGGAAAATTGGTACTAACCTCTCTCTTATCCAGAGCCCAAGAGTTCAGTTTCAGGTAGGATTTTCTATGGTTCATAATACTTTTTCGTTTTTCTCTGAGGTTTGTTTTATGTTAGTAGACTTGAAAATTGATCTGTAGGTGCATTTAAAAATTCATATGTGATTATATTTTGGGTGCCTCTAATAAGCAGAGTAGAAGAGGCACCTGGTTTATACCAATGTTAATTTTCCTCCCTCTTCCACATTGATCATCCCTATGTTTTGCTAAAGTCTAGACTCTTTGATTTCTGCTCCATTTGATACCCCAGCTAATGGTGGAACATAACATGAAACATCCATAAGACTTCATCCAGCCCATAAGAATGTTAATTTGTAAAATAGCACTTAAAGAGCTCTTGCAGAGATTTGTCTGTTAAATATTTCCTTCTTTTAAAACTAAGCAACTTTTCAAAGAGCCTACTTCAATTGGCCTGCTCCAATCTGTTGTGTTGTGATAAATATTGCAATTGCAGTGTATGCTAGCTCATCACAAAAGGTAGGAGTCCTCTGAGTTAACACCTAACAATGTAAAAGACAAGTACATAATGTCCCGAATGACTTTACAGTCTAGGACAGTCACCACAAAAGACTACAATTTATTGTATGTTGCTCTTAAAAATATGCTTCCTTCCAAGACACGAGACTTTTTTTGGCTACAAAAGTAAAATGCAAACCCCACTGTGGCCAAAAAATAAGCAACATCAAAAATTACTTCCAAACAGTATTTAACTGATAAACTGAGTTTATAAACCCAGTTTAATGGAATGGAAGACAGTGTTACTTAAGAATGAGTGGAAAGTAAATACATGTTACTTACACACATGATGCAAATTCTCTGAAAGGGACCTTGGTAAACAAGATAATGTGAGCTTGCTATTTGTTTGATGGTGTGTGTTTGTTTGTTGTTTGTTTTTATACTTGAACTGTGTAGGTGTCAGAAGATTGTGTCAAATTCTGTGCTGCACTTTGAATTTTGTAGTCCTAATGTGAGCAGACTAGGAAATAGGGGTGGTAATGACCTCCTTGTGTTGTATCAATAAGTCTTTCTAGAACATAAACTGCAACACATGCTTTTTTTATACTATTGTCCATAGCCAAAAAATGAACTGACTTTGAAATCTTGTAAATATCTAAGCTTTAGTTAATAAATTAAACTTTGAAATCCCATTGAAGTTGTTTAAGACATTGTATGCAAGCCTTTTGCTCTCATCCAACCTGTTAAGAGATGCAGAAATGTGGTTGCTAAGTGTTCGACTCAGAAGTTGGAATTTTAAGTGTTCTTTTCAGCATCCATCTGTCTTGACTGTTTTCCTTTTAGACCACTGTTATTCTGAAACTTTCCTATAGATGTCTCTTTTCCTTTTTTCTTTCCTGCTTGCTTTATCTATAGTATGAAAGGACCGTGCACTGAACTTGCTGTAAGTTAATTTTTAAAAAATTACTTGCTTCAGCCATTCGTGCATGCTTATAATCAGTGTGTCTTAACTCCAGTTAGGAACCATAACCCATACTTTCTACAAGGCTTCATTTCACCTTGTACTTCTGATAAATGGGTTGTTTCTATTACTGTTGTCAGTCAGATTTCTGGTACATCCTGATAGGTCCTCTAATCCATCGATGATGATAAAGTTTTGGCTGCGTACATGTATGTGTTGGCTTCGCTGTCTAGCATGTTAACCATTCACAATTAGTTAACGTGTCAGACTCTAAGAGAGCCCCCGGAGAACACAAATCAGATAAGGATCAAAATCACCCAAGCAGGTTTATTGCCAAACAGCCTACACTAATAGTTTTCAGCAAACCGATTCACCACTGTGCCACTACATTTTATGCAAGCCGTGGCAATATGTTAGCGAAATCCAGCGCTGCCTCAAGGTCAGCCAGTGATCATCCTTCGAGGTGCACTTCTCTACATAGTTACAAACAAGCCACATCTTACTGACATATTAGGTTATCATGCTCTGTTACCTGGTTACTGCCACTTACCTCACAGCGTTCGCCAGACACAGCAGGGGCTTTGCACAGGGTTGCAGGGGCCTGGTGCTCGCCTCCATCTTGGGTGAGAGGGAACCATGCAGCGGTGGTGGTATTGCAGCTGCTGCTAGGGACTGGGCCCCTGCAGTCCTTGCCTCCATCCCGAAAGCTGCAGCACGGAGTTCCTCCGTGGCAGCAAGGAGGCACCGCTAGTGCCAAGCCCACATGTTCCACAGTGGGCTGCTGGGAGAGGTGCGAGCCCTGAGCTGAAAGGGTGTGGGTTGTTGAGAAGGCAGGAACTGGAGAGGAGAGCAGGGATTCAGGGGGAATGAATGGGCTGCAGGAGAACAGGGATAGGGAAGAGGGGACAGAGAGAGGAGTCTGTGGGTAAAGGGTCCCGTAAAGAGTCCTGGATCCTCCTGCACAGTGCTGCTTCTCTCTGCTGTAGGTCAGGTAATTTCCTTCTTCCACTCGACTCACAATTAAACAGGTCCTCTCTCCTGTCCCATGCTTGCTCACTTTGCTGAGAGAGCCTGTTGACACTGGTGACGTGATGTCACTCTGTCTCACAGGGAGACTGAGACTGAGTAGTGTTTAACTGGTTAACCATTTAAATTAGGGCCCAGTGTGCTGCAGCTCCGGGGTCCATTCCAGCCTGACTGGCCACTGCCGGAGTTTACCAGAAGGGCCAATTAACAGGCAAGCATACTGGTAAGTGGTATGCTTACAGGTTACCCATTTAACGTCCCTGATGTAGATGCCTTACACAAGCAGCAAAGGTTCTGTTTTTGTACAACCCTCCTTAGAGTAAAAAGAGGGAGGGGCAGAGGAAGCAAGTACAAACAAACCTCAGTATACCAGCAAGACCTGTTTCTAAATATATGGTGTTCAGCTTTCAATCACCAGTGATGTTTAGGTTACTTAATTTCATAAATGCAATTGTAGGACTTGATCTTTTTTGTAAAGCACAGTTTCTGAGGTTAGAGCAAATAGTCCCTGTTTTGGATCTTAACTGTTAATCCTGTCATGGTGATAGCTTCTGGCGCATTAAATATCCCAAAACACATCTGTATTGACAATATGGGGTTAAAGGGATCAAAAATAAATGGGTGAAGTATTTTAATTGATATTGTATTTATCACTCTTAATGTGAATACAGATGTCCTGTCTGATCATAATTTCTTTGTCTTTTGGTTTGTTTTTTAACAAAAAAAACTTTGAATGGAGCAGTGAAAGTTGTAATGCAACATTATATGCTAGTGTTTCCCAAATGGTGTATTCCAACCAATGTTCCCCTTAACATTTATTCTGCACTAGATGGAAAAAGTTATGTGCATGGAGGCATGTGTGGATGTGCACCACGCGTAGAAATGTGCTGCATGCTGAGAGTGCTTTGCTAAACATCTGGGCAGCATATGAATCTTTCCTGGATGGCTGCCCTATGCTCATCTTACAGGGAACACTGATCCTGAGTTGTTGATGGTTTGCAGGACTAGGTGCAAGCACTTCTGGCCAGGTGAAGTAAAGATGCCCTAGGGGAGGGGTTAGAGAATAAACCTTCCCCACACTCATCCCTCAGTGGTGGTCTCATGCCAAGGGGCTAAGCCTCAGTTCCTGCTTCGTACATTATAATCTGGTATATGGAGTTGCAGCATGCATAATCAAATTTGGCCTGGTCTCCCTTTTGCTAAATCATAGTTTGCATAGCAGGGAGCCCAACACCACAGGACAGAAGTTCTCAAAATCTTTACTCAGGATATCCACTCTGCAATGGGCCAGAATTAGGGTTATGGCTCAAGGAGAGAGGGCATCTATTACATCTCTATATTGTTGTTGCAAGGTGAGTTGCAAAAAAGACAAAGCAGCTGGTGCCTTACCTTAGTAAAAGGTTCTGGGAACCATAGCTCTGTGCTGTGTTTTCTGAGAGGCAGCATCTGTTAAGGCATTAGATGCCACCTGCTCGGGCTGTGAAAAGCATCTTGGTCAACCTGTGCTAATGCTGTTGCTCCCTAGGGGAGAAAGGGGAAAGGCTGTTTCCAAATGATCTGCTGCTGCCAGTGCATGCATTTGGGAGCTGTGCCATGGGCACACAGTAGGTTTCATAGGGGAAGCTGAAGAAAATTGATCTGTCAGCTCTCAGTTTTCAAAGCTGTTCCTAACAATTCTTGGAAAAGAACAGTAAACACAAATTGATCCTCTCATTATTCAGGCCAGTAGCCCTTTGTGCACCATGAAGTAGTTCTTCAGCAGTGGCTATCCCAAACTGATAGTGATCTGAATTTCAGAAGAGTCCAAGGACCCATTGTGCTTGGCACTGTACTACTGCATACAGGAGTAAGGAAAGAGACTGAAGGCAGCTGGGATGGTTAGTGTGTAGATTGAAGTAATAAGCCTTAAATCTCATGTCGCTGAGTCCATGAGTTTCAGTAGATAGAAGACTTGTGCATTTCACCTCTCAGGCTCATCTCTTGAAAGGGTTTGTACAGGTTTCCTTTGAGAATGAGGACTGAAGTCAGGGAAGAGCGATGGCTTTGTGAAAAGTGTTCACCCACAGGTGATAAAGTATGCTAGTTTGGCAGGTAGTAAAAGCACCCCATCTTTTCCTCCTGTTAGGAAGGGTAGAGTTGCACTGAGGCGAGTTACATTAAGTGCTATGGACACAGCTTTTTGAAATATTAACAGGTTGTTCTGACCCGTATAACACTGAAGCCGTTTTCATTGTTGGTTCAAGATCAGGAAGAACTGTTTCTGAAACCCATTTTCAACCTCATTTCAGTTTGCTTGTGTATTGAGGGTGGTAATATGGGTTCTACGTAGTTTTGCCTTTGCTGGGAAAACTCATTCAGCCTTTCAGACTGGTTGTAAAGCCAGTCTGGGCTGCTGCTGTGGACCATGCTTTGGGGCGCCAAAGCCATTCTCCTCTATTATTTAAGCCTTGTAAAAACAGTAGTAAGAACAGTTCCAGTCAAAGAAACTGTGCCTGCCCCTTCACTTCCAAGTTTTAAACAAATACAAGATAATCCATTTTTAAAAGTATTTTGAATATATTTGGTTCACTTACCTCAGTATAGACAGGGCTCATAAGGACAGATAGTTTGTTAAAATCTTATGATCGTGTCCCTGTTCTCTACTGTGTCTTACCTCCCTCTTGTACATGAAAAGACTTGCAATTGTGGGACGAAGAAGCATCAACTTGTTCACTTGTGCCAGTTGTTTTCAGTGGACATCTAAATACTAACTTCTTTGAAGCCCTGACATTTGCAGTGAAAACATCTGTTTTGAAAGGGGGGAGGCGGGGAAGTACCATAATTAACTTGAAATATTTCACTTTCAAAATTAATTGAATGCATTCAATCCATTCAAAATAGGAAGTTTTAGTGATCCTATTAATGTACTAACCGTAAAGACTATTAAAGCATCTGATTTAATATAATTGAGTGACTGTAGGTGTAGAGTACTTTGCTTGACTGTGCTTTGTTGTACTTTGTTGCTGATCTACTATATATTTGAGAGAGTGCGTCTGTCTGTTCAAGAATTCCTCCTAAATGGTAAGAGCTAGGACCATCACATTTGGTATGCAGCTTCCTCTTATAACTTAAAGCAAGTTGTGCCTGGAATGGGATTGCTTCTAATAAAACCTTGAGGCTGGCTAGGGGTGCACTCACCTCACAATCTCTAGCCCCACGGCTCCTACCCTCCATGGGCCCTTTGGAGGGCCCCGAAGCTTCCCTTTCCTCCCTCCCTCCTGGATTCGCCCTTCATCAGGAAGAAAGGGACAGGGAAGCTTCGGCCCCTTCCCCCGAAGGGCCCATGCATATCTCACTCTGGCTGGGGAGCGCAAGGGGTAGACATACCTGAACATACCCTACTCCCCTGGTTGTGCCCACTGGAGCTACAGCGCCCACGGAGAGGCGCTTCTCACCTGGCCCCAAGTTGCTGCAGTGAGAGGAGGCTGGGCTTGTCCCCTGTCCTAGGAGAAACCTCATACTGAACCCCTCATTGCCAGCCCCACCCAAGAGCAATGATTTAAATGAAGCATATTCATTTTCATGTCTCCTATAGAACAAATAACTTGCATTGGCTTTATGGTGCTAAATAAGCAGGTTATATATCCTAGGAAACTTGCCATGACCTTTCTAAAGTGGCACAAATAATCTGTAAAAAAACAAGCCTCCCCCCCCCCCCCCCCGAAATTGACTTTAGTGGGCTTTTGCTACTGTCTTGGTGCCAAATATGCTAAGATTCCTAGTGTCATGTGTGTGTTTGTTCTTGATTGCCAGATTGGTTATCAAGCTAGTGTACTTCTTCTTCTTTTTTTTTTTTTTTTTTTTTTCCAAATACAACCTGTAAAATGGGTTGGAGAGTGCGTTCAAAAGGAAACTTTAACTTTATTAACTTTAAAAGTGTGATTCATTTTCTTTAAAATTCTAGGTTACCTCTCACTCTACAGAAGGAATCTATTCTAAGCTGCTGAGAGATGACACAGTAGCCTCTTTTGCGGATGTGGGATGGGTTGCTCAAGAGAGAGGTGAAGTCTCTACAAGGCTCAGGTATGTTTGTTAAATCGCCTCGATTTCATCATAGGTTCCTCTCAAATCACAGCGCTTGCTATCTAGCGTACTTAGCACTATGGCTGTGCAAGCATTTCAGCATTTTGGGAAGGAACTGAAGTCAGGTTAACAGGATTATGAATGGAAGGACCACAGTTGGAGAGGGGACGTGGAGTTCTGATCCAGGGAAGGAAGGTCCTTTTTATCTGCATTAGATAATCCTAGAATTGAAGGCATCCATCTCTTTTCCCTGCACAAATGCTCATGTGACATGGGTCTGTTGTCAGCACTCTTGTTGGCCGCACTTGCTCTGAGCAAGGTTTATTACTGCTAGTCCTGAGCCAGGGCTCTGGAGGATTGTCGTGCTAAGCTAGTGTAATGGAATGCTGGCCAGAAAGACCAATTGCCTCCACTGAGCTCTCTGGTTAAAGCTATGCAGAGCAGAGACACTTTTCTTGTAAAAACACACTCACATTTTGTATAATTTTTACAAGCACGAAACTGGTCTGGGAGTGAATAGGGAGCCACACCCATAGCTGTAGGACAGGTACTACTGCACTAGGCAGTGAGTGTTGGTATGGGTACAGTACCCCATATGCACTTGGAATGGATGGCTAGTGTGGATGCTGTATTACAACAGTTTGAACTGGTTCACACATGCTGGTGCAGGCTTCAGTGGCATACCTTTCTAGGGTAGGCAAGGTTTCTGTTTACTTTAAAGGAGCGTCTCAGGGCTCAGAATAATGGCTTTGGTATTCAGAGATTTAGTAGTGTCCTACAAAGGACATCTGTTTAAAAATAGGTATTTCACGATGACCTCCGTGCCCTCCGACACCATTTGCTATGGTGAAATATTGCATAATAGGAATATTGCTGCAAGCGACGGTTAATTTCAGTAACTCAAAAGCAAGTAGCAGAAATCCATCAGCTTGACTTTTCAGAGGTAAATTGCCTTTGGTAGGCATATTTCAGTACAAGGAATTGACTGTTCAACTCCTGGGCTCATGTGTGCGAGCTGAATTGTTTTCATCCAGTTTTATAGTGTCATTGGGAAGAGTTAACTCTTTGCTTCAAGGAAGCACCTACAGGTTGTTGTGAGACTTGGGTATTGTTAGCTCTGTTGCTATTTGGGGAGACCTTGTTAAGGAACATTGTGTAAAGCAGTCATATCCTTGAACTCAAAAGCTGATAGTTGTACTGCAAGCAGTGAGTTTATAAGGTAGCTCAAAAAATTACTTTCTTAGACAGGGCCTTAACAAGGTGAATTTCCTTGTATGTATGACATGTTTAACTTTACACTAATGTTCAGTAGGTGATTGTAGAATCATAGAGCTGGAAGAGACCTCAGGAGGTCATCAAGTCCAGCCTGAAAGTGGTTACTTAGGTATCCCCCATTCCTGGAGATATGAGTTGGCTGCTGCCGCCTTCTAGAAGTTACATGCTTCCAGTTTTCTTCCTTGTTCTGTACTGCTCTTAGCCTGCTGTGACTGCAGGATTAAACGCCGCCTTCTATCGAGGAAGTCTTCATCCTCTCTAATAGAACATAGGGTCGATACTTGGGCCTCTAGTCCTCTAATTATTTCTTCCAAAATGGTGACCAGCTTGTACTTAGTGCAGATGAAATCCCTTCTTTCTTCCGGAAGGAAGAAAAAAATGGCACATGCTGTGCAGGTAACAGCAGATCTATCAGTATCCATTCCTGCCTTCCTTATGAAAGATTCTTCAGTTGTTATTAAATGCCTCTTGAAGGGCAAGAGTGTAGTGAAGAGATTTTAAAGAACGGCAAGTGTATCTTGCCCCTTTCCCAACTCCCTCTCAGCAGCCCCTGGTCGCTGACTGACTCCTTTATAAAGCCATGGACTGCCTGGTAGCCCCTCACCCTGATTAAGGCTCAACCAATGAGCAGAGGTTTCTAGATTTCAAACCCTGATTAGAAGCTCACAGCTTCCACCTGCCAGCCACAGCACACACTCCGTGGGGGGTGGGAGGGAAAGGGAAAAGGAAAGGAGAAAAAAAACCAAACCAAACAGTCAAACACAAGCTCAGCACACCACAAGAAAAACACAAACACACACTACAGACAGCCACTTCCCTCAAGGGTCCTGTATTAGCTTCCTCCTTTACCTGGAGAACTCCATTAACAGCCCCTGTTCGAGCACTACTGGTAAATTTTGGTGCCTCTGACAGGTGATCCTGTCTGGTTTGGCAGGGAGGTTATGAAGTGCTTGTACTTCAGCTGCCCTTCCCTGTGCTGCTTCTGCCCAGAGCCTCAGAGCTGCCCCCTGGAAGACTCCTGCTTGTTGTTCAGGGTTGGAGAGACAGGCAGGGAGGTGCTGATGTCACTCTATCCCCCTCCCCTGTACCTTATCTTCACAGAGTGAGGAGGGTGGAGCCTCCGCAAAGGGGCGGGGCGGGAGCAGGGTCTTGGAGAAGGGGTGGGACAGGGATATTTAGGTTTGAAGTAGATCCTAGACTGACTTAAATTCAGAAAGTGACCTTGTGCTTAAACAGGTTGGATACTGCTGCTCTAAAAGGACAATTCTTGGTCCAAGAAGCCCACGTAAATATAAAGATATTTATTTGCAATATCTACTTCCCATAAAATTCTTAACAAGTAGTCCACATTGCAAGTGAATGTCTAAATACATACACTTACAGATGTTTAAAATCTATTTTTGATAGTGTAGATAAAGTTGATCCTTGCAGAACTAAACTGCACATCGTTTTGTACCCTGAATGCTCTAGTCACATTTCAGACATGGTATTTTTCAAGCAGTAAATTAAAAATGTTCAGTTGAAACACCTATTTGAATAAACTTACTGTGCATCAAAGTACTTTTGGTATGAAGCCTCTTTACAACAGTATTTAAATAAGCTTCTAAAAAAATCAGATAATTTGAAGCATTGTTGAATGTCTTTCATTTAATCTGTGAATAAATTGCTGTTGATTCAAGAATTCGGCAGCATAATTTAGGTCATCATTGAAAGTATTAAAAATAATTTGGCAATAATAGCTCCAGGCCAGACAATGAAATTCATCACCTACGTACTCTAACATGTTGACTCTTAAGCAGATGTTCTTTCTGTATGGATTAATTATGTCAAATAATTCACATTCCAGTTGCAAGTAGCTAGTGTTAAACTATTCTTGTGCAATACAAAACAAACCTTTTAAAGCTGTGTGGGGAACCAAAAGAACAAGTGCCTCTGGACGAAATCCAAGATGCTACCCAGGATGTATGGTTCCATGAACCCTACAAAAGTCCTGCGATTTGCAAGGATTATCTATCTATCCTCACCTTAAAAATAAGAACAGTCATAAAACTCTTACAGATTGCCACATTCATCAATAAAGTAATATTCTCCAGTTCAAAAGTAAAAGTAATAATCTACTATTTATCTTAGAGTGTTTGTGCATTTGTCTCAGTCGGTAGGTCTGTTTATTCAAGTGCTCCTAAACAGTAAGACCTAGAAACACCAAATTTACAGCTTCCTCTTATAACTTAAAGCAAGGTCAGAGTTTAGTTGTGCCAGGATAATGGGATGTGTGTGGAATGTGATTGCTCTGCATCAAACAGAAAGGGAGGGGAGTGAGAGGTGGGACAGTTATACTCACAAGTGATCACAGGAGTGCAGCAAGTGCCCCAGCCCTGGGTAGCAGCAGCTGCCAGCCGTCTCAGAGCCCCTGGGCCACCATAACACACGGCCGCTGCCAACCTGGGCTGCCCCGGGCAGCAGCTGCCACCCCAGAAGCCAGTGGGTGGCCTGTAAAATCCTTCCTCTCCCTGACCAAGCCAGACCTGAAACCAGGCAACACTGGATAAATCTTCTACAATTAAAGAGACAGGAACTAGGTGTTGCAGATGACTGGTAATAGAATTTGAAACCTTCCACCTCTAGGTTACCAGTTAATATAGACAGAAAGGAGGAAGTGGGGTTTTTTTTTTGGACAGCTCTGGGTGGACAGACATCCATGAATCCAAAATAACTTTACTTGCTCCTGTATAGACACTTTGGATTCTGGATGGATGTTTTTCTTATTTCCATTGCTGTCAATACAGCATTTTTCAAAAGTGGTAAACATACAAATACAGTATGATGTATTGCAATAAATAGAAATTGGGAATTCTTTTATCTGCAGTTAATTTACTTTTCTGTGAAGGATGGACTAGCTACAAAGCCTTGAGTGATAGTCTATGGCCTGTGTTAGGCAGGAGGTAAGATCCTAATAACCTTAAAAGACCCTATAAATCTCTCATACGGGCTTTTTCCATTTAAATAGCAGCAAGTGCTGCAGATACATAGGTTGGGTAGCCACTACTCCTATGAGAGAACAACTGAAACTATGATAAATCAGGACCGTGATTTCTGTAGCTTAAAGCTAGGGATGTGAATGATTAACCAGTAAGCCCCACCCCTTATTGGAACGGGTAAGCTTCACCCATTAAACCTGTAGGAACTGGAGCAGCTCCCTGCCCACCATGGCCGGGGGCTGCTCCAGCCCCAGAGGGCCCACCGCAAGCAGGGCTTGCTCTGGCCAACGAGAGCAGCCCCTGTCCGTGGTGGGCCTGGCCTAGCCCTCCCTGCTGCAAGCAGGGGCTGCTCTGGCTCAGACCCTCCACCCCACCTTTAATTGGTTAACCAGTTGGACATAATGTTTAATGGGTTAACCAATTAAATGGGATTTTACATCCCTACTTAAAGCACATTCTTCAGATGAGTTATTTCAAAAGTCATTTCTATTGAGAATTCTTGCCCCAGTGTTTGATCAAGCAGTACCACTGAAAGCTGAGATCCTGTTATGCTTGAGGAATTGTAAGAATTCAGGTGGGAGTTATTAAATATGTAGGCATTTCTTCTACAACTGTAGTGTCTCAGTTCAATCTTATAATCCTCTATCTCAGTAAGTAGCCTTAGTTCTGCTATTGCCTTGAACATTCTGGTGCCTTGTTATCTACCTTGCCTGCTTATTTGATAACTTCAGATCTTGAAACTTCATATCGTAGTGTTAAAATATTCTGGATTTCTTTGACATTCTGGGCATAAGGGAGGGAAACAGAGTACACAGCCTATGTTTTTCTTCATTTCCTAGTTCATGCCATTACAGCAGAGGCTCGTATAAATATTTTTTTTAGTGCATGAAGCTTCTCTTCTACCCATCTTATCATGGTATATGATTCTAATACTAAATAGCTTTTATAATAATAGATTTTTCCTTTAAAGTGCCATGCCCCTCAACAGTTCTCAGAACAAGAATCTGAAGAATCCCATCAAACTAGGGTTGTTCATGCAGTGGGACAATATAGGTGGAAGGTGGACTTTGTAGAACACAGAAGGCTGTTCCATCTCTCTCAAAGGGGAATAAATTGCATACAAGAATTCTCAGAGGTCGAAAAAATCTAGAATTGTCAATTGATGTGCAAGTTTTTAAAGAATCTTCATTCCAATAGCAAAGCAAATAAGTGTGAAAACTTAGTAACTGCTGACATAAGGCATTCAGGGAGAAAACAGATTGGAGCTAGAAAAAATAATATTTATACCTAGGGAGTTTCAGATTGTTCTGCCAAGAGCTGATTAATAGACTAGATGAGACTCTTTTATTCACTTAATTTGGGCCTAACTAGATAGTGTCCCTTTTTGAACAGTCATATTTACTATTTTGTTGGGCCGATTCACATACTAATTGCTTTGATTATAAGCTCCTCGGATATCTAGGCGGAACTGTTCCTTAGCTTAAATGTATGTTTTCTTGTTCATACTGTTAGACCAAAGGTGGAATGTGATCATATCCAGATTTTTGTCCTATTATGTAACCTGTGTACTGTAATTACCAGTAAATGTCAGTGGTGGTACTAGGCTCTGTTTCTGAGGCAGCATTGCCTGCCTTCCTCCCCCCCCCCCCCCCCCCAAAAAAAGTAGAATCAGTGCTACTTAAACTTAATTTTAGGGATCTATGAGTCAGATTCTGTCAGACTTTATCTCCCTTTTCTTACAATGAAAGTGTAAGCATAAGACTTCTCTAAAGGAGGTGAGAAGATGTTTACACGGGGCTTATTAGTTCTTTCTTAAAAGGCCAAAATTTAGTATTTTCACTTAAAGATCCATTCTTAATGTTTGGCTCTGAGACTTACATTTAACTGTTTTGCTTTCTCCCCTGAGCTGCTTGGTAGAAGCACTTACTACAGACCAGCCTTGTGTGACAATTGTGTTGCTTTGTTACAGATCAGAAGTTTGGTCAAAATCAGCTCCACCTCTTCCGTATGAACCATATTGCTCTGGAAGACCGCCAAGTAGACAAGTATCCTTACCAAACCTATTAGAAGAAGAGCCATCCCCTAAAAACATGATGACCATGAATGATGAAGCTCTGCAGAAGATAAATGCTCTAGAAAATGAACTTGCCAGTCTAAGGGCACAAATAGCCAAAATTGTAACCTTGCAAGAACAGCAGAATCTACCAGCAGGTATTAAACTCACTCATTTAATATCATATTAGCTGAAAGGAATCTGTTCCTTTCAAACTGATTCACCAGCAGTATAATGAAGTCATTTTTGTGAACTGTTGCAGAATTGAAAGTGAAATTTATAGGGTTGTAAGATGAGCTAGCACTGAATTTTATTTATAGTGGTTAGAGAGAGTCTTCATGAGGCTTGATTCCACAATATCTGTGCTGTCTCACTGTGAAACTACAGCACACAATCTGGCAGGTGATGGACAAAAGGCTTTTTTTAAACTCCATCTGGAGTTGTGGGATGGAAATTGAAACCCGTGAGAGAAACAGTGTGTGCTGTTTACCCACCCAGCTATAAGTAAATGGGCTTATTTATATGCAGTACTGAACATCTAAAACTTGGATTGACCTTGAGCCATAGTCATATTATCTGACTACTTTTGGAAACAGCAAATGGTGTTTTTCACCACCTAAGTAGTCGCTGATGAGACATGTGCTTAGTATGTAGCAGTGCGATACCAAATCCCAAGAACTTGAGTGCTGATAATTTATCTATTAAATATCAAATAGATGGGATTTCTAGCCTAACTTTCTAAAGAGCAAGTTTAATATCAACTCATTCTTCGACCAGGACTTTACATTATTTTCACTTAACACATCTGAGTGAGTGGCCACAGTACCTTAGTAGGGACCCCACAGATGGTCCTCTTTGGACATTGGAGGACCAAGACCTATAAGATTCATATTTCCTACTCTTTTTTTTTTTTTTTTTTTTTTTAAGCATTTTATCATATGTTTGTTGCAAAGTATCTTGAGTTTTGAATTCTGCAGATAAATAGCATTTAATAGATTTTTGGAACAAAGCTTTGCACAAATATGCAATGAACCAAAGGGTATAAGTATCCTTAAATCCCACGCAGTACCAGTAGATGGTATTAATGTTATGTCATAAGGTCTAGTGTTACTGAGATACTAATTTTGCTTTTGGAATGCATATTTTAAATGGCTTAAACAGTGGCATGTAGTTAGAAATGTTTGAGGTCAGCAGAAGTCTCTAACAACCTTTAATGCTTATTACATGACTGACAATAGATAAGCACAATACTTGTGATCTCTCTTCACAGCTTATAACCAACTTGGCAATTTTCATAGAACTGTCACTTATTACAATGGCTGCTTATTTCTTAGTGTTGGCTTCTGATACCACTAACTCACTTGTTTCTGGGACAGAAACATGTTAAATCCTTTTCATGAAAATGGGCTTATACCAGTCAGTGCAATAACACAAGATCTTCAGGGCAGAGAAAAAACTTGTGTTATAGGTGCCATCCTTAGGATCAGCTGTTGGTCTGAGGGCTTGAATGCCAATTTCTATTTAGACAGAAACTAAAAATCATACCGAGCCTGATAGTGAATACGCTAACCTCAGCCCCAAAGTCAGCAATAACCGCCGATCCCTGACAATACTTTGAATTTTATAGCACCTTCCATTGAGATACTTGTTTCACAGACTTAAATTCTTCCAGCTCACAAGGATAGTAGGGCCTGGTCTGTACTCATTACAGATAGTTTCTCATCCTTAATTCCTATGGCAGAAGTTAAATGTCTTAGCCAGTCACCTAGCTGGTGTGTGGGAAAGCTAGGACGGACTGGGTATACTGACTTTTTTTTTTCTTTTTGCCTTGAGCTTTAGCCATTAAATCATGAATGCTGGGACTCTTTTGAAGAGGTTATAGTTCAGTATCCAAATCTGAGAGTGGATAGGGAAATGTGACTACTATGTGTGCCTTTAACTCAGTGCACTGAAATAGTTGGAAAAAGAATTCAATTCCATCCTTCCTTTTAAAAGCCACCGTGGCATGAAATTCACACATTTCTAAACATGCCAAAATCAACCTCAGTAACAAATGATGTCCTCGGTTAATAATTCTTCTAGTTGTGATTTCCCTCTCTTTCTTCTCCCCCCCGCCCCCCCTCCCCCCTTGTATTCATTAGAAGGCTTTCAGTCTGGGCTTCGATTTTTATTTAGCACTTTCCTTTACCTCCCTCTTCTGGTAGGATATGGCAACTACATTAACATTATACATCTGTCCCAGTTGGTTTGGTTCCCCTTTAAGATTAACTGATGATGGGTGGGTGAAGATTTTGTTAACTAAAAATAAGGTACCAATTTGCATGGGCAGCATCAGTGACTTAAATTCTATAGTCTTGTTTCCAAACAAAATATTTAGGAAGTTCTTTACCAAGACCTGTGTAATATCTTTGGTTAGTCCTCTAATACTGACTTACTATTCACCTAAAGGAGTGCAGGAAGCTTTAGTTGGTTCACCCAATTGCCAGATTCTACTCTTACATCTTAGGAGGACTTTCAAAAAAATTAAAGAAAAACCTTGACTATAACAGAAAGAAGGTGAAGACATTTTAACTGGGATTCCCACTTTTTTTTTTAACTCTGCCATTTAAGTTTAAGAATATCACCCAAGAGAACTTTCATTTCTGAAAATAATTAGCCAGAATTAACCCCTACTGCTTATATAGGGTCTGATCAGTCAATAAGCAGTTTCCTTTAGAATCTTGTCTTGTCAAATGGCAAGTATAATTTAGAATTCTTACTTGATACATTCATTGCTGTTATCTAGCCAAAATGTTATTTGATATGTAAAATTATTTCTAAACCATGATTTCCTCCAGCACAATGGCTGACCTAAAACTGTATCTCTGTGCATAGCCTTGTAAACTATCTGCAAACAACATTAAAAACTGATGGACTGCAAAAGGGGCAAACTTTGGTGGAAACAGGTTCTGGTATTGAACAAGTTTTGTAGGTTACACATGGATGTGCATCTACTGTTAGAATCTGCCTGGGAGCTGAACAGCTTTTCATCCTTTTGCAATAGTAATTAGTTGAGAGGGTTGTTATGTCATTTTTTAGGTGGCTTAGGATTTACTCCTGGCAAGTAGTCTTGTTATAAGACAAAAATTGATAGGTTTGTTCCTTTTGAATATATCAAGTATTTTGAAACTTCCCTTAAAAGGGCACTTAATTCTTCCTGGAAATGAATGTCTTGGTATTTTTCAGGTGGTTTAAGTCCTCCTGCATCAGCTTCTACACCTCTACTGCCACCACCGCCTCCTCCACCACCACCACCTCTTCCACCTTCTGGGGTACATCGGAGTATGTCTGCTATTGATCTCATTAAAGAGCGGAAAGGCAAGAAAATAAATGTGGGACAGACTTTGATAGATAATGGTCCAAAGAAGCCTGAAATACCAAACATGCTAGAGATTCTCAAAGACATGAACAGTGTCAAACTGCGCTCAGTGAAAAGGTGAGTACACAATAACTTGTGGTGTTTGTATTTGTACAAAGTATAAAGCCCTTGCTCAGGTGTTTCCATGGAGAAACATTTGAATTTTGGATTGTTGCTGATCTGGCATTTTGAAAGGCAACACAGGAATGCAAAGATGCTCTAACTTCGTAGTAA